CCCCAAAACCCCAAAACCCCAAAACCCCAAAACCCCAAAACCCCTCTGTTTTGAAAAAATATTGAAAATGCATTCAGGGTATCAAACGAGTAGCCAAGAGACAGTGTATAATACACTTGTGTTTAAGGTTTTGCATATGCTCCAGAATAGAGTTATGTAGGGGATTTTGTGTTGATGAGTTTAGGCTTTATGAGCAAGGCAAGATAGTTGCAGATAAGAGTGAGGTTTTGTGGTTATGGGTTTAGAGAAGCCGAAGAGAATGAATTTTGGAGTTATTTTTGGGAAGATTTTTTGAAAATTACAGGCGATGGAGCAGGAAAAGGCCTCGCAGCCGATGTTCTCGCTTGGGATAACGGATTTGGCACATTATTTAGGAATTTTTAGTACAATGAGGTTCAGGAAATATGTAGGGTTAGTTTGGTGATTGTGTAGTTTGAGAAAATGCCTGAGTTGGTTAAGGAAAAGGATGATATGTCAGAAGCAAATACCTCAAACAAAGAAAATACCTTAAACAAGGAAAATATATGTTCTCCATTAAACAACTTGGACTCAATCGATCTTTCACATAGAAATCGCATTATTCAAGAGGACAGAGAAATTGAATCTGAGGAGAATAACGAAGTGAATTCTCGAAGAGAAAAGACTCCTAATTTCAAATCTAGAAGGCCTAAAATTCCAAAAGGAAAGATTCAGAGTACTCGATACTCGATTAATCAAACATCCAAAGGAAATAAATATTAGGCACTATTGAGGATTGAACTACAAATTTAGAGAAGCTAATAAAAGTGGCTGTTAAAGCTAGTTCTAAGAAAAAACTGAAACACATTATGAACAAAACTTCTCTGGATAGCTCCAGAGGGAGCAAAGATTCCATTCTAAATACAAGAAATAAGTACCCAGTATCACCTCAATCGAAGAACCTTAGCTACCAGAATGGCAAAAAAGGGATGATTATTAAATCTAAGAATTCTGAGAGTACTATTTTCTACTAATTCATAGGGCAGATAAAGACCCAAGCTGAGTTTGCCGTCTCATTTAGGAATAAGGCAATCTCAAAGCCAAAATTTTCACAAGCCTCAAAAGGTAGCCTCCAGCCTTTGATGAAGAGAAAAGAAGTTTTAATAAAGCATTCAAAGATCAAAGGAGGCCTTAAAAATCCTACAAGATCAGACCGAGTAGGAAAAATACTGAAGTTCCCTAATTTTGCAATTGGACAAGGCAAAATTAGTAGAGATACTCCAAGTGAGAATTGTGATGATCAATTTACTGCTGATGCTCGCTTTGGTATCACTCTCGGCAGGAATACGAGCATGAATTACAAGAAGAAAATGAGTAATCATCTCAATAAGTCAGTTCATATTGGGAGCATTGACAAGGTTAACCTTTCTAATCACATCAGTTTAGCTTAAATTCGAGTCTTCAATTTTCGCAATACAAAAGGGGTTTTGGGGTTTTGGGGTTTTGGGG